ACAGTATGCACCTTTGCAAGTGAGGAGGGGCCATGCTAATGTACTTCCTCTGCTAGTAACCTGCTGAAGCCACCCCCACCCCTGGAGAGGTGCACAGATTAGTTCAGACTGGATTCTCCAGGGCCCAACAGACAAAGGAAGGAGAGAGAGCCTCAGGGCCTCCTTCCTGGACAGGACCCCTGCTCCACACAGCGCTCCAATCCTTTGGGTGGCGTGGGATGGGATGGGATGGATTGAGCCTGCCAGAATCCATGCTAGGGGGCAGAGCTAACTCTGATAAGCCTATTAGCAGGCACATAGGTTCTTCTATTGTTTTCAGTATGGTTTCTCTATAAAGCTTAAGAATAAAGCAGGCGTGCACAGGAAGTGCCGTGTGATACCTTATCACTGTAGCAATTACACCTGTTTACCCTGTCTCTGAAAAGAAAGCCAGCAGGTGTCTCTGGGCTACCTGGCTGTGCTGGGAAATGCACAGTGAAGGCAGGGATCTGTGAAGCCTGGGAATACCCTGGTCAGAAGGGTGAGAGAGATGCAGGTCTCCACCCAGAAAAGCAACAGTTGGGAAGTGGGTGTCCTGGCTGGGCCACCGAGGGGAAATACAGGTGCAGCTGCCCTGGACTGTGACAGATTAATCTGGAGATTTTAAAAAAAATGTAACTGAATTTTAGAGCTGGCACGGTGTGTCGCTCAGCTCAGCTCACTGGCCGCCACTGGCAGGTTTGATGCCCAAGGCCTGTTCGAGCACAAGTGGCTATGACAGTCTTTATCTGTGGGACGACAGAGGCTGCAAACTCCGTGCAACGAAGCACTTTTTTCAGTCTCTGCTGTGCGAGACCTGTTTGTACAGATGCTGGTTATGAAAGCAACTGCCTGCCGTGTACCTGGGAGTGTCTGGGGGCGGGAGTGGGGTGTCTGGGTGCAGTACTACATGTTTTAAAAAAAATGTTTTGGCCAGCAATCATTTTAGAAGAGCGGAACCAGAGAATATACAAACATGGTAAATAGCTGGAGCCAAATTTTTCAAGAATCACCAATAATCACGCCCACCCTAGCACAGGGGCAGCTGGGCAATCAAACCCATTGACAATGCTGTTTTGCATGTGTCAAAGTTGTCAGCTGCACAGGGTTTCTGTCTTTCCTTGCAAAGGCCATGTCCAGGTGTTTGCACATGGGCACACAAGTGGAAGTGGAGTTCAAGCCTCTTTAAGAACACAGCCCCATTGTGGCTTTTGTAGTTTGGTTCTAGTCCTATATAACAGATAATTAAGGCAAAGATTTTGTCACAGATATTTTTAGTGAAAGTCACGGACAGGTCACGGGAAATAAATAAAAATTCACAGCAGCCTGTGACCTGTCCCTGACTATCACTAAAAATATCCCTGACAAAAAGGGTAGGTAGGTAGGTTCAGCACCCACTACTGCTGGGGCTCCCGGGTCCCCCACGGACGCGGTGCATGGGGCTGGGCTGCTGCAGGGTCATCTCCCCAGGCAGCTGGTAGCTGCAGAGTTCCCCAGCCACTCGCCATGGCTGCAGCTGGGCAGCTGTGGGGTCTCCCCCACAGGTTGGGGGCTGGAAGCTGCAAGGGCGGGGCTGGCTGGGAGCTCTAGCCCCAGGGCAGAAAATGTCATGGAGGTCAGTGGAAGTCACAGATTCCATGACATAAATGTAGCCTTACTGATAATGAATAGGAGACCCCATTGTTTACGGTGCCTAGGGACCAAGATGATGATGGGCACAATAGAAAAACGCCTAAGATAGGTACAAATGAATACACTTTCCTACATCATCTTATACTTCTAGTTCTAGGGCCCACACAGGGTTTGCAGATCTGCCATGTAAGATCATGGAAAAGTCTCCCAAGAAAGGAGGTTAAATCCCCATCACGTAGGATAGAACGTCACAGACTTTTTTTCATGAGGTGACTCCACTTTAATCATCTCATGGACAACTCCCCTCCCCTTGGTGATCTCATGAATCACTTGCCCCCACACTGGTGACCTCATGGATCACCTCACTTCCCACCGGTCACCTGTTGGGTCACCTTGTCTCTTATTGGTCGCTTCATGGTTCACAGAGTCTCCCAATGGTGATCTTGCGGACCCCTCCCCCCCCCCAAGTGATCACCTCACCTCCCTTCCCACTGGTGGCCTCATGGATCACTTCACCTACCATTTTTGACTAAAAAACATGCCTGTAGTGATGACAACAGCTCCTTACAAGGAAAAATCATACCAGATAAATGTATTCCTGGGTTTCCTTTAATGTGATTTAGCAGCTGAAAACCAAGAGACTGGTCAGTTCTGGACAGACCACCAGCAAATTCTCTGAGCACCACCAGTGATCCATGAACAAGCTTTTGGAAACCTCTGATTTAGGTCATTTAGAAATACCTTGGACAAAGCACTACAGGGGACGTTCCTGCCCTGGCCCTCAAGAGGATGGTGTAGACTGTGTAACAGGTCTGAGCTATCTCTGATTTCTAGGATCTCACAACTACTCTCGCTTAATAGGCTAGACACAGTAGCTCTAGTTTGGGGAAGTTCAGCTGAAGTTTTGCCTAGGACGGGACTGAAGACCCAAGCTCTCACCATGGAATTCTTTAATCTACACTGGACCCTGTGCTCGCACTTTCGTCAGCTAAACCCAGAGCAGCTTCTCCGCTGGCTTTAGCGGAGTGACTCCAGATTCACACCCATGTAAGTGAGATCCAACCTTAGCCCGATGACTGCTGTTCCACATTCTGCCTCTGGACTCCCACTTCTTGTCAACGTTCTGGGCGCTCAGATGGCCTGATGCTCACCAGCCACGGTGATTATTACTGTTTGCACACAATAAAAGCAGCCACCAACCAGGGCAAAGCACGCTGGTGCTGCTGGATGGTTTCAAATCTCTCACTGTTACTTGACGCTGTGTCCCTCGCAAACCCTATGTCCGCATGACCTGCATTTAAGGGGCTTGTTTAGGAGGCACAAAGTGGCTTATTTTTCACTGTAAGAGTTCATGGGGGGTGGGGGTGAGATCTCTCCCTAGGAAAAGTTAAGCTCTTTGCAATCCATACCCAGAAAACACAAAAGGGCCAAATGGGGTAATTTAACCCACTGACATCTACGGAGCTACATCCCCAAGCCTTCAGCTGCTTCCTAGCACAATGTCTTTTCACATGATCCCTGTGCAATGGATTGCAACAAACGAACACCAGTGTAAAGACTTAGAACCAACCCTGCGGCTTTCCCCCAGAAGTAGGCTTGGAAGGATACGATTTTTATCGGTAATTACGTGGGTGAACATCAGTTTCACTGTAAACACACAAACCACCAAAACAACATTTCCATCAATAATAATCAAAATGTACAGACAGGCCAAGTCACAAAAATGCTGCTTGAGAACTGATTAAAGCTGGCGTTCAGAGTATTTACTTTTGTATCATCTGACGTGTCGTGTGTGTTTTAACAGGGACAAAGCTTTAGCTTTTTGAACCTCAACATCTATCGTCATTAAATAATTGTCTGTCCCCCCCCCCCCCGTAATTTTCTCAAACTGAACATTTCAATCGATTACAAAGGGAAAGAAATGCATAAAAATAAACATCAGTATTACTTGTTGAAATGATAAGACATTAAAAATCAAATTCTGCCAGGCCTATCTGAGTGACTCCCTTGGAAATCAATGGGAATTGTGCATGCAGGGCTGCAGGATCGGACCCAGCAGCGGTAGAAACTCAGCGATTACTAAATAGGTTACTAAAGAAGTCACTGGAGTTACACCTAAGGAGACCGTGTAAGTGAGGGAAGAATGAGGCCTTGAATCAGGACAGCATTTTACACACACCTTGCACAGAGTAAATGACCATACAAGATGGTGAAGGGTTAGCCCTTGACACTGAGATTTTCAAAGTAGCCTAAGGTATTTATCTGGATGCTCAATTCCCACTCAAATGAATGGACCCTAGGCATCTAAATCTCTTAGGAGGCATTGTAACTCTCAGCCTCTCTAAGCATGGTACACTAGCTTTCTGATGTAATAGAAATAGAGTCTTTATGGTATATTTCCAGCTACCATGAGTACAGAATATTTCCTCCCACACCTCTTTGGAGTGTTCTACCTGGCACTTTTCATTCTTAACAACAGACACTGATGGTGATGTGACGATGCACTGACAGGTGCTTTCATTTGGGATCAGACAGTTGCAAGCTCCCTGGTGCTGGAAAAATCACCCTCAGACTTTTAAAAACGTGAGGGTTGGAAATCCAGAACCTCAGGCCAAATGCAGCTTCCAGATGGGCTGAGCTTAGGATGCTTCCGCTGGCTCAATGGATCCAGCTACCACCTACAGCTCATGGGCCTGGTCCTGCTCCCATTTAGGTCATTGGGACTTTTGCCTTTGATTATGGGAGAAAGGTCTGGCACCCTAAGTTTTTTCCAGCAAAGGACCCAGCTTCAATAAACACCACAGCCCCTGCTCCTGGAGTCAGGTGATTATATCAGAATCTCAGTTTGTATTTTAAAAAAAGTAAGTCTCTATCCCTCAAGGTTGTGGGGGGGAAAGCTTGAAAGCATGACCCGGGGTAACTGACCCAGAGACATCTACCTGAGTCTGCAGAGAGCCTTAAACAATAGCTCTGAAAGGAGTGAACTTCCCAATGTGTCTCAAAAGAGAATTAACTCCTAGATCCATTGCTCCAATTCCACCTAGCAGAGGGCTGTGAATGGCAGGGGCAGAATGCAGTGAGCGTGGCCCATCCACCCAAGCAGACAGACCTTGACTGCTGAGCTAATTACAGGGACCCTCTTGCTGCCACCTTTACTGCTTCAGAGGGTAGGGGGTCCTGTTGTCACAGCCGGAGGGAGAAAATGGGACCCCATACTGCTGCCCTTGCCACTTCAATTGAGGGGCAGAGCAAAGGGGGGCCCCTATATCTTGGTGTGCCCAGTGCCTCGGATTGCCTTAATCCAGCCCTGGGCAACCTCCACTGCCCACACAGCCCACCTGATGGCATACCTGAAAACCCCAGGTCCAGCAGGACAACCCGTTTCCGGTCCTTCACGCTGCTGATCTGCTGGAAGTAGAGGTCGATGACAAAGAAGAAGATGCAGGCGAAGAAGGCAATGATGCCGATGGCGATGCTGTAGTTGCAGGCATCCTCGTTCTTTCTGAAGACGCACCTGAGTTCTGCATCCTTGCCCTCGTTGACGTAGCCCTCATTGACGATGGAGCCGAACACCACGATGGAGAAGACCTGGGAAGGGGAAAGCACAGCTGGCAGCTGTTTACACTGAACTCTGTTTTCTCACAGCAAGATAATTGGACTCAGTCTTCCATTTGATTCCATGGCAACGTGGCACTCATTAGAGGGATCCCTACACTTCGCTGGTTGGTGGTTTAAAACCAATGGGCTTCCTCCATAATAGCAATTTCGTCTTTGCTTTGCAGTAAGTTGGTTTGCAAAGCATTTTAGGGGACGCTCTTCTCGATCCACACCAGGCAGAGGGAGAACAGATCACCCAGGTCCAAGCCCGGCCTTTTTGCCTGCATCACTCTCAGCTGTCAGACTGCGCTCAATAAACTGCCCTGAGTCACTAGGGACTGGAGAGAAATGAAGTTACAGAGAATAATTGAATTGCCAAACACATTGCTCCCGAAAAAGCCTAAAGGCGCATGGAGAAGATGAGAGAGGAGCAGACAGGGAAAGCCCAAGGGAAGTTCAGCGGGTGCCAGGAAGGAGAGTCATGGTCATGCCCTAAGTGAAGGACCGGTCAATGTGATGCTAAGCACTGCTGGGGATGGAGACCGCACGGGGATAAATCTGTATCTGGAGACCTGGCTTGCAACTAGCTGAAGGACAAAAGTGAGACAGGTTTGCTGGCCTCCCTCTGGTCCCTAATGGTTTGCAAAGCTGCCGGGGGATTGGCAGGTGCTGCTTGGGAAGGGCCCTGGAGCAGGATATTAGGGGTGTGGCAGATCAGGACTGGAGTGGGACAGCAGAGCTTCTGGGTGGAGGGGAGAGCTTGCATGGTGCCTCCTGCTCTGCTCGGATCTACCAGGATCAAACTCCTTTGCAATGACCTTCACTGAGGAATTACTTTAAAAAAGCCATTTCTCCTGCTGTCCAACAGGGAGTGGTCAAGTAACTGCCCTTCCCCTTCCCCTTCCCAGCAGACACACTAGGGTCACTGCAGGGCTCTCAAGGACACAGCTGATTTCTTGTATGGGGATAGTGCACATAAGGGGGAATAGAACCAGCAAAGAGGCCTATGCACCACTTAAGTCTCACACTCAGTGCACAGGCCTCGTGCGGCCCTTCTGCATGGGATGAATTTAATTCAACGGGCTCAAGGGTTGGGTCTCTGCAAGATGGGGTAGGACGCGGCTGGATAGGGTCCGGGGATGGAGCCAGAGTTGGCTACTCTACCAGGCATGACTCACTTTGAACCTGCCGGATTCCTGCATTCTTCCCCACTGACATCAGTACTGCTCATTGCTGCATTCGCTTCTGCATTTTCTGGCTCCACACCTTCCACCCAGAACAGCGGGAGGCAGGTACTGCCAGATAATCAGTGGCTCCTCCAGGAGTCGCGCTCCCATCCCAGAAGACAACTGGGGCCCGGGAGAGTAGTGCAGAAACCCCTGTCTCTGTGCAGATGCCCGGAATCCCTGCAGATTCCAGGCCACATTCCTTGTCCTGGCAGGCAGGAAAGCATCGTGGCCTAAGTGTGTAGCAAGCCATGTGCATGTGGACACCCCTGGTGACCGCTACCTGCTGCATGTTAGGGTTACACAGCACGAAACCAAAGTGACAAGGGGTATCCATGAGGCCGACTCCATTACAAGGCACTTCAAAGCCTCGCCTGTCTTTGCCTAGACAGCGCTGCACTGTGGTTTCGATTTCAGTGCTGCCAGTGGGGAGCAAAGCAAGGCCTGCCAGTGCCCTTCGTTCAAGCTGTTAATCTCTAATCTTGTCTCGTCACTGCCAATGGGCAGGATCCTTGTCTGTTTCAGTGCCCCGCTGGCTCATAAGGATGCAGCAGGAGGCAGAGAAAGAGAGCTTAACTTGAGAGCAAAGGCAACTCCAGGGCTCCTGGTATGTTGTGGCTCAAATTCCCTAGCTTCTAAGAGAGCAACTAGTGATGCTGAAGCTGTTGGCCTGGAGGCCTCGTGGCCTTTCTGGTAGCAATGACACATTATAAAGTAGTTGACAGAGAGAATGACCACAACCATGGTCATGATAATATCGTGTCCCCTTGACCGATTCACCTGCACTCCGGCCCCTAACCCAGCTCCCCCATGACTGATCTGACACTCTAAACCTCGGAGCAGGTTTCAAATAGCTGTCCTTCTCCAACAAATCAACCCGCCTACCACAAATCCTATTCTGTTCTGTCCAGGATCTTACACCGTGCTCAGCGCTGGTGGACTAAGTGACAGGACTAACATCTGTTACGTGATTGGTTGGTTGGTTTGCTGTTGTATGACATTGTCCTACGGCAACATTCGGTTCTGTCCCACTGACCCACAACCCCTTGGACACATACACTTGGTAGTCTGTGCAGCAGGCTAGAAGAAATTAATAAGGGTCCAGTCCTGCAGCGAATATTCTCAGGAGTCAATGGGGCTACTAAGGTGAGGAAGGATAGCTTATCTCCATTTATTGGGGAAATACTCACATTGTTACCCACCCATATGTTCTAGGCGCATGTGACGCCATTTGAAAACCCAGCAACAGAAGACAACCCCCCCAACCCCTCCCCCTCTGACCATTTTCCACCCCAATAATTATAATCCCAATTTTCAAGTTTCTGGGCAAACAAGACGAGCCTCGCGATTTGAGTCAAGGTTACGGGATCGGGTCCTAAAGTCAGGCCGAAGCCAGCAGTCCTTTCTCAGGATTGTGCCAGTGGAGATCAGGTCTAACTCCGCTGCAGACAATGCAGTTCCAGCAGAGCAAAACGGGGGGAAAATGAGAACAAAATCAGGCCTTTACTTATGAGCCAACTGCCTAGAGAACCCCAGTGACTGTGTTTTAAATACAGTGCGGTAAAGTCACATATACAATACTCAAAGGGGCAGCTAACTCTTGGTAAGTGTCATTTCACCTGAGCAATGGCCAGTGGACCTTTCCTTAGTCAGCTCTAGACACCATTCCACCCACCTCACAAGAGGACCCTTTCCTGGATGTGCTTTAAACTGGGACAGGGCTTGTTCTTTCAGAAGCTCGTCACAAATGCGAGCATCTCGTTAGCAGGCAGGTCTCAGAAGGTCTCCATAATCTCCCCCAAACTGGAGGTGACAGCAGAGAGGTGGGTCTGAAGCCATCCCAGCAGCCTGTGCAGGGGAGTGACGTGATAACGTTAGTGGATTTCTTCCTAAAGAAGGTGCAAGTTGAAATAAACAATGGCTAGTGCCAGCAAAAATCGTCTCCTGAGAAAGAGCACTATTCACACATACAGTAGTGCCCTGAACTTTCATGGGTGCTTTGCCCCTGACGTCCATGAACATAGGCTCAAGCCCTGGATATGCAGGCGAGTAGTGCACGTGAAGAATGCACTGGACCATCCCATTCCCCTTGCTTCAAATGGATCAGAACCCCAGCTTCCCCGCTGTGGAAACGGGGCTGGTAGCTTGGTTTTGATTTTTAATTTAATTAATTAATCTCAGAGCTCAATCAATGGTGGCAGGTTCATTTAACCACCCATGCTTTAAATTCAGGACACACACAGCAGCCATGGCCTGTTTGCCTCAAGCGTGTGCCGCTCCCCAGGGTGTCCCAAGGGGACGTCATGTCATTTATGTCCTGGCAACTGTGTCACGAAGCGGCGGTGCAGCGTGATGATGCTTTCTGAAAATGTAGCCATGATGCTGAGGGTAAAGGCCATCGCATCATGCCTCAGTGCTGTGACACAATGAAGCCTTGTGAGATTTTGGTACCCAGGAATGCGAGCAGTCCCATTCCTGGACAATCCAGCCCTGAACCTACAGGACCTGCCTTCACAGCCTCTATCCATCTGTCTGGATGAGATGCTTTCCATACCTTGTGACACCTACAGGAGATGGACATGCAGGTTCCTGGCTGCCTGCTTTTCAGATGACCTGGTGGCCCCTGTGAGGCTGGTCAGAACTCTCTACAAGCCCCAGCAACAATAGGCCAAAGAGCTGATGCTTTCGATAGGCAGGTGAATAACTGAGGGCTCAGGCCAAAGCACATCAGGGGCCTTGCAGAGAGGTGACTGAGTTATCATCCCCCTAACAACCCAGGCACAAAGCTTCCTCTTTGTGCTTCTGCCAGCTCTGAAAGTCCATCTCACACACTCCTCCATAAACTCTGTGGCGACAGGGAAATGTTGCGTGAACCCTTGTTCTTTAGCTTCTCTCACAATGCTCCACCCCAACATGCGCTCCATCTCCCTCCCAGCTCCTGCTCCGGCCCCCTGAGTGAATAAGACTCCTCACACCACTGTCAACCCTGCCTCCCCATTACTCGCCCCAGGGCTCCTGTTTTCTTGGGCCTGATCTACCGATGAGACCAAGTTCTCCGGTGGCTGGTCCCCAGCTGGCTGGGGGTAAGGAATCACCAAGAGTGGAAGCTGAGAGCACATGCTGCTATTCAGATCCCCTGTGCGCCCAAACAATGATTCAGCTTCCTCAAATCACATCCTCCTGGGAAGGCAAGAGTTAAAATCAGAGGTGGGATTGTGAACTTTGGATCTGGGTCTCAATCCTCAGCACATTTGGGATGTTTGGTTCAACCCACAGCACAGATCATAAGAACAGCCGTACTGGGTCAGACTAATGGTTCATCTAACCAAGTATCCTGTCTTCCAACAGAGGCCAATGCCAGGTGCCCCAGAGGGAATGAACAGAACAGGTAATCATCAAGTGATCCATTCCCTGTCGCTCATTTCCAGCTTCTGGCAAACAGAGGCTAGGGACACCATCCCTGCCCATCCTGGCTAATAGCCATTGATGGACCTATCTGCCATGAACTTATCTAGTTCTTTTTTGAACCCTGTTATAGTTTTGGCCTTCATACCATCCTCTGGCAAGGAGTTTCATAGGATGACTGTGCATTGTATGAAAAAATAGATAACAGCCAGCTGCATAATTCACATGCAGATTCTCAACCCCTCAAAACCCGGGGTGTCTGGGCCTGCAGTTTTGGCTTGGGCTATAAACCAGCGAGTCCTCCTTGCCCCTCCTTGTTCTCTTCCATTCTCCGTCACGTGTGAGATGATCAGATCCTGC